TCATTAGAGTTGGGTCAGTGGCCATCTACGGAAATCGGATGGGACTGATCAATTGGTAACTATCAAAAATTAATGATCACTGAGTGGCCTCACAGCAGATGACCACTGAATCGCATATAGTCTGTGATCACCGATGGACACTCAGCGATTGTCTTGACAATGTTTAACGCTAGGATGTGTTCCCCATCGACACTTAATGAGAGGAATCCGTCGATTACCGAATCCTAACCCCCCCCCCCAATCCTTTATTAATTCCAAACTTTCACTAAAGAATACCTGCGATTGTGAGATCACTATTTGCTTGGCTTGTTCAATTTCAGCATCGCTCACTCCTTTGGAGCGTAGAAAACGTTTCTGGTTTTCGAATGAGGTTCGTTGAACTTTTGGATCACTCATAAATCTCACTGCTGTATCGATCATTTCCGGTCGATTAGCATCAGTATTGTTGGTGTTGCTATTATCAACACTCGAAATAACATTTTCAGTTTGACATTCCGAATCTGCTTGTTGAAGAGAATCACCCGCTTGTCCTATTTCATCATTCAAATCTTCTGTTTTATCCATCTCAACACTTCGTTTGAGTTGATGAATCTAAACTCCAGATTATAAAAACGACGAAACTTCTCAAACAAATTGGATCGCACACGATCGACACCTTCAAAAAAGGATCATCAAGTTTCGATATTGAATCGACGAGAAACAAATTCAAGCAATCACCACTCCTGATTATTGCCGTTACAACCGCATTTGTAAACCGAATAAAAATTTTACTTGAATCATTGAGAGCACATTCATATTTATACACAATGCGACAGTGATCAATACACAGTAATCAACGAAAAGTTATCATAATCATTCAATTGTGATGTAATCAAGAAATAATTAAACTGAGGAATACGCATTCATTATCGTTCTCCAGGACAACCTACGAACCTTGTACTGAAGAAGTAGCACTAAAAGTGACGTACTTCAGCCTCAACCGTTCGAATCTCGCTCAGGCTTATTCTCATCTTTAGGCCTATTGCTAGTCTCACGTCTGGGCTTCGATTTTTTTTTTGTTCAAGTCTGACAGGAGTTACAATAGACCAGTATTTGCCGTTAGACCAATACGAATTATACAAGTTGTCCGTCTCCTTCCTGTTCAACCTTATTCATCCGCTCCAGTCCTGTCTTCATTTCCCACTTTAACTGGGATGAAGGCTTATATTGCGATGATGCTTACCGAGAACAATTGAATTACTTCGTAAACACTTATCAAAAACCAATACAAATGAATAAAAACAGATGGATACATTCATTGACAACATCAAGATGA